CTGGAATAAAATGTATTCAATAGTCATTGCAATGACGTGTTTGTTCCGAGATAAGTCCGTATAACTGTATAAAATGACGACCTATCACCCCACAGGCGTCAACTAACACCGATAATAAAAAAAAAAATAAGGAAAAAACTTTTTTAAACAATGTCAGGGTAATGACGCGAGCTTAGATTACGAATTTTGGATAAAACCGTATTCTATGATTGAAGAGTAGTTTTGTTTTATTTTTTTTTTATTTATTTATAAACGTAGAATGGGAAACAAGCTGAAAGAAAACTAAAAGTCTGCGATTTCACCAATCAACTTATATAGGTACTGTTTATAAATAAACAAACGAATTAAAAGATAAAAGGACCAACAGTCCAGAGGTTCCTAGACTTTTTTTTGTCATAGATCACTTTGAAAATTTTGCTGATCCCCGTGAAGTTACCCGTACATTTCTAACATTTCCCAAAACTCGACAAAAAATGTGAACATTAGATCTGACTATGGAAATTTGCGTTGCGGCTGAATTCTAACCAGGAATTAATAATTTTCGAGAAAAAAAGGGAAAATTGATTGGTTTAATAATTGAATGTGCTATGAGTGGATGTCGAAAAAATAAAATTGGCCGATCAAAAAAGTAATTCCAACCAACTTTACTTTTTTGACATCTACTCACAGCACAAGGAACCAATCAATTCTCATTTAGAAAGCTCACCATTCGGAGTGGTTTTTTTATATGTATAAAATAGTTTTTTTTTTTGTTTTGTATGTGTGATTTTTTTTTCTTTTGTTTTAAATATGTCATTGTTACACTATTAATTATAATTATTGTTATTATGTTATAGCATTTTATGGGGGAGGTTTATGTCCAGCAGTGGACGAATAATGGCTGAAATGATGATGAATGGTGATGATGATTGTTATTATTTTACATTGTAATATGATTGCATTTTCTAGGACACCTGCTTACGAATTTTTTTTTGATGGGTGAAAATGGTACGGTAACCCCGCCTGCGCTAACGGGATACGCTGGCGGAGCACCAGTGAAGGGTGATAGATGAGAATGAAAACGGCCACTTAGCCCATCATGATGAATTCAACAGGAATTAACCACGATAGTTTCCAGGGAGAACCGCGAGGAGTTCGACCTGGTTGGGTATATTGCTAGCAATGAGATTCTCAGTCTCCATTACTAACAATCCCTTTCCCCCCTCCAATCCCTGTCTCCCGTGAACCACTGAGGGTCTACCTGGACCACTATAGGAACTATGGCTCTAGCCAAAGTGACGCCCCGGGCGTCCCAATGGCTCACAGACAAGCTCTTATTCAGTATTGTTTACTGATGGAAAGTGGTAACCGTCGCCTATAGATTATACAGTTATCATTCTTGTAGACTATACGATAATGATACGACCTCTTGCGTCAGATTTTTCCTTAATAATTAATATGCACGCGGAATTTCCATAAATTGGGTCTAAAAAATAATCTGGAGAACTTAGTAGATGTTAGGAATGATCCTTACTAATATTATAAATATGAAAGTGAGTTTTTTTTAATGGATGATAATGGAATGGTAGCCCCACCCGCGCCATCGGTATACACAGGCGGGGCACCAGTGAAGGATGATAGGTGAGGATGAAGTAGGTCAGTTAGCCCATCGTGACGAATTCAACAAGAATTGTTCACGATGGTTTCCAGGGGGAACGACCTAAAAAGGCATATTGCTAGTAACGGGGCTGTCAAACTCCATTGCTAACACTCCCTTTCCCCCCTACGAAAGTGAGTTTGTGTGTTTTTTATTTTATAGTGTATTAACGGTTTAACCAATCAATAAGAAATTTGGTATAGACGTGCTATAAGGGAAAAGGGTATGGGCTACTTTATATCCTGGACAGTAAACGTGTCACGATAACGCGGGCGAAGTCACAGTGAACAGTCGACAGTAAACTCCAAATTTGGTATAGTTGTGTTTCGGTTCGAAGGGTGGTATATGGCAGTGAATTTACAGGGTACAGAGGAATAACACCTTAGTTCTCCGGAATAGCAACGCAAGGGGGGTATCATGGGCGAAATAGTATATTATATCCATGGTACTGCTCATGTCTTGGCGACGGTCACCATATTCCATCAGGTGGGCCGTCAGCTTGTTTGCCATTCTAAGTTGCATTAAAAAAAATGGATACATTAATTATATTATTAATTACTCCACACTGATACTACAATAGTTTATATATTGCATCCGTGCGAACCCAGGGCGCGTTGCTAGTTTACAAATAAAAGGAATGCGACATCAACAACATTTTGTGCACAGCGGAGTCTTAAACATTGTCTTCGCATCATAGAGCCGTCAGTAGCTACAATGTTCGGCCGTACTATGTAGCAGATGTCGATGGAAGCGGACATTGTCCTTATATTATGTAAATATTGTATGCTCCAACTCATAAACTGTCGGAGTCAATATATAGTTTATATGTTTTAACGAGAGACATGCTCTTAAAAAAGAAGTGTATATTTTACGAAATAATAAAACGGTCGCCGCTTGTGGTAGAGAAAAAAGTTTAATAACAGAAACATGACATTGTCAGATATCGAAAAACAAAAAAAAAAATACAAAATTTATAAATGTACTCTAAAAAGATGCGTTCTGCAGAATATGTCTCAAGCTATTATTATTATATCCAGTCAGCTGTCTAAGTGTAACTTTTTTTTTATTGTCAGTTTTTTTTTATTCTGCGATAGTTTTTTTTTTTAATAATGTTCCTTTCCACTTAGGATTCTCTAGAATAGAACTCTTATATAATTAAGCTCGCCTGTTGTACATATTTTTTTTTAATTTAATAATATATTTTTTTCTTTGTGTGTGCAGTAATGTATAAGGAGAAAAATAAATAAAAATATTCTTTTCTAATCAGAGATTCCTAATATTATCATTATAATAAAATAACCAAATAGAGCAGGCAATTTGGCGTCTTGAAATGTGTATTTAATTTATTAAATTAACTTAATTTTATTTAAACTAATGCGAGTTACATTAACTACATACGAGTACATATTAGAATTATAATAAAAATTGTATATAGAAATAATTGCATCTTGATTAATATGCCTTATTTTTTTTTCAAACTCTCTCGTACTACAAAATAATTAAAATAAGTAACAATTATATAAATCCTCTTTATAATTTTATTGTGATTGGATTAAAGAAAGAATTATTGCGTGACACAAATTTTGAATCCTTTATTCGGTAAGTGAGCTTTATCCGCTGCTTGTAAATCGAGTTAGTGAGTGTCACGTGCACGCTTGTCGCTCGCCGCTCGCCGCCTGTCACTTGTGACAGCCGCCCATCTACGCATCGAATATAAACAACAACATATTGGACGTTTTTACAATGTCGCCCTATATACAGTGGTCCGTTGACACACAGAATTGCGTTTATTAACGTTACAACAATGTTACTTTATTATCTCGTAATGTGTTCCGGCGTGCGGCCGGCGGCGTCACGCCGTCGGCGCGTCACTGCCACACGACACGTGTCTTATAGATAAATGAATGGTGCAAACGCCTATTCTAATCATATATAAAATTGTTTTCCACAATAAAAACCAAATTTTATAGAGGGGGGGGGGGATTGATGGTAATCTGGATTACCAGTCCCATTGCTAACAATATACCCTAACAGGTCGACTGCCCCGTGGAAACCATTGTGCTGAATTCCAAGTGTATTCGCCACGATGGACTAACTGACCTGCCTTTTCATTTTTACGTATCACCCCTCACTGTTAGCGCAGGCGGGGATAACATTCCATTATCATCTATTAAAAAAAATGGGAAATCACTTATTTTTATTTTTTTTATTAAACTATAGAACCGGTTTTGATAAAATTTCTATATGATTTACTAATCTCTAAATAAATAAATATATATATATATATATATATATATATATATAGTATATAAAATTATGATGTTTTTGTAACCCAGTTTTTTTTTTTATAATAGTGTTGGTTTTCCTTATTTACGCACTGTAGGATCGTTGTTGAAAGTTTATTGTAATCGTTTATATATTATACTATTGTATGTAATGTATGTATACATGCAAACATGTAAAAATACATTTTCAGTTGTGGCAAAACCAGTTATTTCGATTAAAAACTAACCTGAAAGTATATCCTTTCAGATAAAAGTAAAGTAATTTTTGCAAATCGGTTTACAACTGATGGAATTATGAGGTGACAATCGTAAAAACATAAAAACGAATAGAGAATCTCTTTCTTGTTAAAGTCGGTTAAAAACAAACAAAACATGACATCACAGCTGAACGCATCGTGCATACAAAATGCAATACCCATTTTTTTTATTACTAATAGTAACACGATTTATTTCTTTATTAGTATTATTATTATTATTATTGTTTTCATCGTGTTTGAAATCATTATCATCATCATCTGTCATTATCTGTCCACTGCTGGACATAGGCTTCCCCCATAGACTGCCTGAACGGTCCTAAGCTACTTACAACCACTACAATGCATTCGAAGTCGTCACCCCATAGTGGGGGTCATCCTTCACTGAGTTTGTCCGTACGCTGTCGCCACTCAATAACCTTTCTTCCTCATCGCTTGTAGGTTCTTCGATCTGATTGGAATAAATTCGAGTTTTTGAAATCAATTCAAAAAATTTGTAAATGTTGTTCGGAGACGTCATGTAAATAAATAGCTAGATAGATAGATAATTTATTTACATAACTTACAGCAAACAAATTACAATAAAAAAAAAAACATACACATAATACACAGTAAACGAGATAAAAGAATGAAAAAAAAGCACAAATAAAAAAAAAAACAAAATATATAAGCTAACAATCTCCTTTCTTTCCCTTCCTTCATGCGTGTGCCATAGTAACACAAAATGGTCACAGCTCAGTTTATTGCTAAATAAATGTTATCAAATAACCGTCGAAAAACTAATTGATTCCTATATAAACCTGCGCTATTTGTTGTTCGTTTCAGATGCTGCAGGAGAAGCGGCTGTGCATCCTGGCGGCGGAGCTGTCCGAGCTGGACATCTTCGAGCGGCTACTGTTCTACGCGGACTCGCAGCTGAGGCTACTCCAGTGCTTTCAGGTTAGTAGTACCACAGTATACATAGATAGCGTGAAGTTTGATATTCGGATACTATATGGGATGAAGAAATATATAAATTACTTTTTATCCTGGTCAATACACATGTCACTAGGGTTGCCAACTTTTTATTTACAAGACAGAATATAATTCAGGTCTGAGAATAATTTTTTATGCAACTTAGGCAAATGGCAAACAAGCTGACGGCCCACCTGTGTATATAAGTGGTAACCGTCGCCTATAGACGTGAGCAGTACCATGGTCATAACACACTATACTGTTTCACCCATGATACCCCCCATGCGTTGCCATTCCTGAGGATTCAGGTAGTTATTACTCTGTACCCTGTAAATTGACTGCCATATTCCACCCTTCAAACCGAAACACAGCCATGCAAACACAACTGCTTCACAGTAGAAATACGACTGGGACAGAGGCGCCCAAGCAAATGATTTTTGTACAAAGTCTCCCTCTGCTAATAATAATAATCCAATATTAAACAATGTTTTAGACAAATGAACAGTATTTTATTTATTTAATGTTTTAAATACAGTTTTTTTAAAGCTTTTCATAAAACTTATTAATTTACAGTCTTTTTTAAAAACTTCATATGTATTTAAAAAAGACTGTAAATTAATAAGTTTTATTTATTTTTAGTTATAACCACAATTATAACTAAAAATAAATGAGGAGCTCATTTTTTATTAAATTAATCTGCACTGAGCGCCCTCTGACTGAATAAAAAAGAAATTATGAGACCGTCTAAGTCTAACACTTATAGTGTTAAGTGTTTAGATACTGAAAACAGTATTTTGTATACTTTATTTTTGTTTAACAGTAAAAAGTATAATGTAGTGAAAAACAGTATAGTTGACAACCCTACATGTCACGGTAACATGGACGAAGCTAAAAAAATAAATATATAAAAAGTGGGTAAAAGTAAATAAATAAATATATAAAACTTTATTACACACTTTTACTATTTAGTACAAATATGACTAATTTCAATTTTAAATAATAAAACATAGGACTAGCACCTTCTTAAAAGGGAACACGCTCAAGTAATCAACGAATCGGTCCAGAAATCTCATTTAGACCTGTGCATTTACATTAAAATGTCTTTAGTCACACATACGTCATACATACAATAAATAATAGAATTTCTTCTTTTCTAAGATTAAAAATATTTGTAAATTGTACGTACCGTAAATTTAATCCATTTTTAATGGACATAAAAAAAAGATAAACTTTGATGTCGGTTATAAATCGATTCACAAACCTGGCATAGTCGTCGCGTATCACTACGTACTTTTTTTAAAATTGGTTAAATATTATTATTTTATGATAAATAAATATACATTGTCTCGTGGTGGTGGTGGTCATCGTGGTAATGTTACAAATTAAATAACTACATAAGTGAACAGGAAAACTGAAATAAACAAATTTTAAGTTTTATTAGTCCAATGATCTCGTCTCAGTGTCCTTTCGAAGTCTTAAGATTTTAGGTTCAATACCCGAGCGCATCTATAAAACCCTGAATTTAACGTTGCTACTTATTGCTATATCTAGCAACTTTTTTAAAGCACATTTTTAGTATTGGCATATTTAGAGAAGGTGCCGAGTGGGTCGTGCCCAACGCAGATTTGTTCGATGCCCACCCCAAAATATTCTGGGTTGAGGTCCAGAATAGTCTGGTATGGCTATATAGCCATAGACATAGACGTGTCTGAAAATACATATTGTGTATTTTTTTTTTTATTATTTTCCCTGGAAAAGTCCATATTAATATTATAAATGCGAAAGTTTGTAACTATGAACGCATGGATTGTTGGATGAATGAGTGGATATTTGTTACTCTTTCACTCAAAAACTACTGAACAAATTTTAATGAAATTGAATAGATTATTATAACATTTATATATAACAGAGCATCACAGATAAAATTTTCAGAAAGGTTTTTTTTAATGGATGATAATGGTATGGTAACCCCGTCTGCGCTATTGGTATACACTGGCGGAGCACCAGTGAGGGATGACAGATGAAGATGAAAGTAGGTCAGTTAGCCCATCCTGACGAATTAAACTAGAATTAGCCACGATGGTTTCCAGGGGGAACACCGTGGAGGTCGACCTGACAGGGTATATTGCTAGTAATAGGGCTATTTGACCCCATTACTAACAATCCCTTTCCCCCCTTTCAGAAAGGTATGTGCTATCAACAAGTAACTATTCTGCCATTCTTACAATATGAAGGCAGAATGTTTCATAGTAACAATATAGTGACAGGCTTAATGTTTCATGAAGTCGTAAGTTACATGCGTTGTTGTCTGTGGTATTTAATGATCTATGATAAATTAATAATGATGAATTGTATTGTGAAATATTAACGGTATAAGCAATAATATGACCTACTGTTATCTATGTCAATATAAATCAATGAATTGATCTTGAATTAACTCGTATCATTGTTTGCCATTACAATTGCGTTACAATATGAAAGTATAATTGATTTTAAAAAGTTTTTGGAGAGCATCGATGGTTCAGTGGTAGAATGCTCGCCTGCCACGCGGGCGGCCCGGGTTCGATTCCCGGTCGATGCAAATTTTTTTTGTCCTATATTTACTTTTTTTTTTATAATTATAATAATAATAATAATAATAATAATTTATTTCAAAAATAAATGTTACATTTTAAATATAGGTAAAACTCTGCTCCCTAAATAGGTAAATCCTGTACTTTAGGATAAGCAGTGCTCTTCCCTATATGGCACAATGACACAAAATTATACAAATAAAGAAACAATACAAGTTAAGGTACTAATACGGTAATAATTTAATTTGCCCAAAATAATACTTTGTAAATGAAATCTTGACTGTGTAATTTGTGAATGTATGGAATGGATGAGTTATTTTAAAATGGCAGTCATAACCTAACATACTACTAATAACAAATCCTCAGTTTCATCATATGTCTTACTTAATAGCCAATTACTAACAATTCTTTTGCATATATGTTTAGTTTTTGAATATATAGATAATTCCTTATTTGCCTTTTTATATAAATATGGTCCCAAAAATAATAAAAACTTCCGAATAAATGATGTGTGAAATTTATTATAACTTTTTAAAGCTTGAACATCATTAACTCTTCTTTTATGCTCAGAAATATTTGCATCAAACTGATATATAGAATGTTGTTTACTTATAGTATTAAGAATATATAATTTACGGACAGAAAGAACATTACATTTTTGGTATAGCAAGTTTGTGGGATATTGAAAATCATAGAAATTAATAACCTTTAAAACAGCTCTCTGTGCAATCTCAAGATTTATTAGAACTGTCTTAGGAGCACCACCCCAAGCAACTATACAGTAGGTCAAAAGGGACTGACACAATGTAGTATAAGTTAGTTTTAGAATTTTCATATCTGCAACTTGCCTCAGACGTTTGAAAATGTAAATAAGTTTCCTAATTCTACAAGTTAATTTATTTATATGCTGTTTAAATGTTAAATTATTATCAATAAATACACCTAAATATTTTATTAGCTGTGTTCTTTCCAAAGATTTACATGAGCATGTTCTATTGTTTTTTAGATGTAATGGTAAACAAGTATGGGCAGTAATACATAAATTAACAGACGGTTGAGTAGACTCCCGGATGGAAAATGCAAGATATTTAGTTTTTTCTGTATTTAGAGATAGAGTATTATTAGTAAGCCATTGTGTGACTTCATTAATTCCCTCATTTGCAGCACGAAATACCTCCTCCCAAGTATCTGCAGTGAAAAGGAGAGCCGTATCATCGGCATAACATATGATATTACCATGGAGGGGTTTCAATTTACATAGATTATTTATATAAATTAAAAATAAAGTAGGGCCAAGAATACTGCCCTGAGGGACACCATAGGTTATGGGAAGAGGTTTACTCCTATAATTGCCTATTGCAACCATTTGTGTTCTATTTGAAAGATAACTCTCAAATAGTGCAAGCTGAGTACCCCTTATTCCACTTTTCTCCAGTTTATGTAAAAGTGTAGTAACAGAGACCGTGTCAAAAGCCTTAGCAATGTCCAAGAAGATCCCCAGGCATTTTTTACCCTGATCTAGGCTACTAGATATAAAATTTAACATCTCTTCCACTGCATCATCAGTGGACCTTCCTGAACGAAATCCAAATTGATTATCTGACAAAATTTTATTTTTCTCAAGAAATTTTATTAGTCTAATATTAATAATACGTTCTAATATTTTAGATAGAGACGGAAGAATTGAAATTGGTCTATAATTTATTACACGGTCTCTATCACCACTCTTGTGAATTGGATAAAGTAGGGAAATTTTTAGTGCATCCGGAAAAACACCCTGGCTAAGACATAAATTAAATATGTAAGTTAAATATGGAATTAATTTATTTTTAAATTTTTTAAGAATTACATTAGATATGTTATCCCATCCAACTGAACAATCATTTTTTAGGTTCATTATTAATTGTGAGATTTCATTTTCGTCAGTACTGAGCATAACAAAAGAATTAAAATAATTATTACCGGAAGAAACATAAGGAATATTAAGATAATTTTGTCTAGTCTGGGGTATCCTTCCTGCAAGATTTTGGCCTACATTTGCATAATAGTCATTAATTTCATCAACTGATAGCTGGGGATCATTTAAATTTATAAGCTCATGAGGTGGTTGTTTATTTTTAGCACTATGAGTTATATTTTTTAAAGTTTTCCATAATTTTTTACTATCATTACCAGCTTTACTTAATTCTTGTCTTTCATATTCAGTTTTAACCTTCTTTATAATATCATTACAGAAATTACGATATCGATGGTAAGTTAAACGGATAGTTTCATTATCTGGAAACTTTTTATGTTTTCTATGTAGTTGATCTTTATTCTTTATACATTTTAGTAAACCAGGAGTAATCCAAGGTTTTAAGATTCGTTTAGACCTAGGAACTTTATACGTAGTAGTGTGTTTATTAATCAATG